ACATGATAAACACATATACCTAAATAAAGACAGAAGGAAATCCTTCTCTATTGCATCAGGTAAGATAATCGTTTGTAGTCTTAGATTCGGTCGGTGGTGAAAACGAATTAAATGTTTGGTTTTAGTCATTATGAAAAAAAAAAAAAAACCCAAACAATTCAACATTTTCCTACAGACGACACCTTCACTACACGGAGGCGACATGTTAGCTAATGGGCTGTGAAATGGAACACAACAACCACCAAGTTGGAAGATGATTGTTTGACCTACTAATCCACCCACAAGTTATTATTTTAATCATACATTGTTATTATTACTCAGATTAAGAAGTGACGGTTTGGGATGAATTACACCGTAAATATTTGAAATTGTTTATGAAATTCTCCTGATAAGAATAGAATAAATTAGAGACAGGTGTATAAACGATGTGCTGTATAATTAGAAATGATCTAAGTTAGCTTTGATGTAGCATGTAAGCTAAAGGTTTGCCAGGAAAATATAATAAAATAATTAGCTTAAAAATAAATAAAAAATAGCTCTGAGATTTTAAGATTTTAAGAAGAAAAAAAAGGATTTATAACATTTGCTTAAAAGATGAACATAATTCAAGATATACTTAGCGCAGGTTTAGAAATACTCAGGTAAGTTAAAAAATAATGAAAAAAAAGCTGACAAAATATAAAAGGTTAAAAGGTGCTGTAGCTCAAAGTTTTACAAAAAAAAGCTAAATGTTCGCTCTATTTAGTTCACCCTAAAGCTAAGAAGACATTAATTAGCACAAACTGTCAAAGGGAAGAATTGTTTTATGTTATTTAAATAAATTAATATTTTAACAAAATACTAAGTGTAGCCAAGATGACAGGCAGAAGATTTGCTGCTAAAATGTCACCGTTAAAAGAACAAAAGCTAAATGTTGGTCTTTGTATTTAACAAAATTCTAGACAAAAAAAAATATTTTTTTTCCTCCAGATATTGTTCATCCATTTAAAAAAAAAAAAAACAGGTGAGTTTGCGACTCATTCCTTCGTCCCTACACTGATTTGCCGACGAGATTTTAAATGAGGTGGTTTCATAGAACATCTGTTCATCGAACATCGACAGCTCTGACAGCGAACACAGCAATCAGGAAATGCACTGGATGTGTTAGCTTTAGTCGCTGTCCCCGTTGTTTTTCAGCAGCCCACCTGCTGTTTTCCCTACTACTTCCAATGGAACAGAAACCCCAGTATTCACAGAGGAGTAAGGACCACCTGCTGGCAGAAATGAGCGGCACCAGTGGTCTGCAGCAGAAGAACGGCGCGTTAGCGTCAACGCTGACATTCTAAAGAAACATCTTTCTACAATTCTTAGGACCCTGCCTCAGCGCCACCACATCGCACCACAAAGCACGTAGCTGATCAGAGAGATGTGCACCCACCCCCAGGTCTGACCATAGACACCACAGAGCAAGCCCTCACAGCTGCCACATCCGCCTCACTACAGTGAATTTCACTAAACTGGAAACTCCCCTGGGGCAAAACCCTGTCTCTTTATGACAATACAGAAAATAAAAGTGCATTTATTCGACTTGGTTTAGGTGATTTACAGGGTGTTTAATGTTCGTCTGAGTATGCAGAAAAACACACGTTCTCTAACCTTGGTGGCAACGTGTTCAAAAACAGGTGTGAAGAACACTGGAGAAAAAAAACAGCTTTAAGAGGCTAACCTGTTAGCTGAGTGAATAAAAGGCAAAGTCAAGAAGAAAACACGATTTTTCTTCTTTCATCACGGCGAGCTTGCATAACCGCCATTACCAAACCAGCTGCTTCTACAAAACACACATTCACACACACCACACACGCACAGACCCACAGGTAAACAGAACCGACTTCACGCAAAAAGCCCAGCACTCCGTGCCCATCCTCAGGCCCACCAGCTCCGAGGAAACTGATAGTCTACCAGTTCCATTTATAATTATCCTCCTGACCTTTAGCAGAGGCTTGGTATGCACACGTTGGTGAGGTCAGAAATACATCCAACTCTGATGCCTTCACACACACCCAGACAGAAACAAAGGGTAACGGTTACAATCCATTGTTAAACTGAGGAACTATAGCGTTAAAAAAAAAAGAACTTCATTTGCCCCGTCCATGTCAAAGTCCATGGAAATATGAGGCAACGGTCACTGGACTTATAACAGAAGTTCATATCTGACTTTTTTCTACTGATATTTTTCAGGTTTTTGGTCAATTATAATCCCATCTAGTGGGAAATGAAATGGTAGAGCACAACTCACTCCAGTAGGAACCTGGCTGCCAACGGGCTTCAACCAAAGGCATTGACTGAGGTTCGGCTCTATTATATCTATTGTTTTATTCCTAACAGAACTGTAATTTGCAAAATTGCAAAAAATGGGCAGAATTTTAGAAATCAAAAAATTAAATTATATCATAAAATTAGTCATGGGAAACTGAAATCTACAAAAAGGTTAAGTTACCTTGAAAAAATGGTCTGAATTTTAGAAATTATAAAGTTAATGATGGGAAACTAAAATCTACAAAAAGGTTAAGTTACCTTGAAAACCTGCCAAGAATATCAAGGAATTACTGTATATACTCTGTTTTAAATACCATCTCAAGACCTAAAGATATAGTAGCGGCTGAAAATTCCTAAAGATAAAGTCTCAAGTTAAGGTTCAAGGACCTGGCCAAGGACGCACAAACAAAGTGATGGAGCAATGATTTAATTTCTACTCACCCTAACTTGATTATGTTCCATTTAATACTAAGCTATTAGAATAACAAACACGTTCTTAAAGTCATTTTTGTTGTTAGAAAACCCTAAACAAATGCATCACTTGACAAACAGTAATTTCACCTTGAGTACCTGGACTGACCACCAGGAGTCGCAGACCCTATGTTGAACAACTCAACATACCATTTTTTACAGTGTATTGCTATATAAAAAAAAACCTAAACAAATGCATCACGTTGTGGATCTGGACGTCACAATTGTCATTATAGCACCACCTGCAGGGGAGGAGGGGGAAGTCCACGCTCTCTTTAAACAATGACTAAAAAAAAAAGACAAACAGTACTGACGACTATACCTTTGTAGTTTACGTAGGTAATGAGTGTCCGGTAGGGATGTTCCTACACACACACACACACACCTATGCAAACACACATCTCTGTTCACACACAGTGGCTGTTTGTTTTACTGAGAGAAGGTGGAGATATTTCAGGGCTGGTATTCTGAGTGTCACTTAAAAGGGAAACGGAGACGATAATATATCTGTGTTTATAAATAAAAAAACTGGCTGCGCTCGCTAACATCTGCTGCTTTTAATATGTGGTCAGAGATTCAACACTTAACACGTGTGTGTGTGTGTGGATTCGGTGTTTTTACACCTTCACAAATAAATATCTCCTCATACACACACACACGATCACAACACTAAGACACACCAGCGTGAGTAAACAGCGCCGCTACACCATGCTCCGCACTTTATTGGCAATTATGGCTGAAGGTCACACATCAGTGGAGGGCTGAGTTCCAGGAAAAAAAAAGCCTGGTTCTTATGTAACCTCAGCCCGGAGTTGGCCGCGGCCCAGGGATCGTGCAGCTTGCAGGCAATGAAAAACTAGGACACAGCCTTAGTGACTGCCACAGCCCAACATGTTCACTACACTCACGTACACACACGGCCCGCACACTGCCACACTGCCCCCTATTGGGCCAAGGAGGCTAAACAACAGGAGGGGGCGGGGT